CCGAAGAAATATCGAAATTATTTCCCGGTAACGTCTAGAGAACACGCGTTTATCACAAAAAATCACAACAGGACTACCCAGACAAGCGGCAGTTTTTTTTTATATTCGATTAGTTTCACGCGACTTTGTTTGTTTTGCTGTTTTTGACGCGGTATACGTTTTCTTTTGCGTTTGTGATGCGGTATATTGACTAATAAAACTACATTTCGTAATTTTGCTTGTTTTCATATTTTCGACATTTGCATATTTCGATATCGATATACTGTATCGAAATTTTCCAATACCGCAACAGCCTACGCCAACAAGAACCTCAAAAGGCTATTCCAACTTTTAAATAAGTGCAAATCATGGGAATACTCGAGAGTCATTACCACTAACAATCCCTATGGCCAAAGATTTTAGTCAGATCCGGGAATAATTATGTAGTTTGCTCGAGTTCTAATGAATACAATGTATTTTTAGGATTGTATAAAGGGTATGAAAGTCGGTGATTTGGATTCATTTGGCCACCATATTAAAGCCAACTGTACATTTTTGGCATTCAATACAGATGGTGGTATGTACTAACCTTGATATATCATGTGACAGTTTATGGTGTTTATGGTTGATTTTCCCATAAAAATTCAACTATATATAGGCCGTCTTTCAGAAATTGAAACCGTGGCTCTGTTAGTGGTTCCAGTGCAGCACACTGACCACTGAGCTATATGTAGTATACCAGAATATGGTGCATGTACAGCAGTTACTATACTAGACAGTGTAGTATGCACCCATGTTTTCAATATGCATTCTCGGTGGCCGGACATTTTGCCGAAAGACACTTTGCCGCAAGACATTTTGCCGAAAGACATTTTGCCGAACGGACATTTTGCCGACGGACGTTTTGCCGAACAGACGTTTTGCCGAAAGGACATTTTGCCGAATGGACATTTTGCCGAATGGACATTTTGCCGAACGGACAGTTTGACGAACAGACATTTTGCCGAGAATAGAGATATCTCCCGAACTTTAAAGGTTCGCTTACACGGTCAAGGTTTCTGTGATTAAAGTCATTAATTGTCGATTTTGATGACAATTTTGACAAGTTTACCGAAAATTCGCGATATAAAGAATAACATCATTCAACATCAGTCTGCATGAATGTGATTTCCCCGAGAACTGTGACGATCTGACGTCAAAACACGTTCATCCCCAGCTAGGCTTACTAGTGTTGGTTTGCTAGGTGGTCTATAGATCCCATATTATGAAATATTTATTATTTATTTTATTTATTAAAACTTTATTTCACGAGCCTCAGGGTAAAAACACATTACAGCCAGGGGCTGAAAAACCTGTGGCCCTCAGGAAAATTGACATTAAGTTATACATGAAAAATACAGATAATATTAAACTAAATTAATGTGATCTAAGTCTATATAAACATGCAATTTTTTACATTACGTATACCCAAATATGGTGTATTCATGTATGTACTCTTGTGAAGTAATTACCAAAGTATGGTATACTGTATACTGCTGAAGTAAACTGAAATACTACTGTATATACCAGGTTTCTTACAAAACTTGACAATCCTTGAATTTGGAAACATAAATTAAAGCTTGAAAGTCCTTGAATTAATTGTTCTTGTTTTAGTAGATATTTTCGGAAACTGTTTGGCATTAAGAATTGGACATTTTGTAAATTGATTAAAGGACATTGGCAATAAAAAATTAGTTTAGTTCATTTGAAAGAACTCTTAAAACTATATATTAAACTCTATTACAGATTGTTTATATCTTGCTTAGTTTTCAAAATATTTCGACTGAAAAAAGTGAGCTGTTCGCCATCTTGGATTATTGAGGATATGCATGTTACGTCAAGAGAGGGGTCGCGCTAATTTTTTATCTTGAGAGTAAGCGATCAATATGGGTCCAAAACTTTGTTTCTGGTTGCTGTCAGAAATTTAGAAATGATTAAAAACATTTCAAACAATTTTGGATTGTTATTCGGTCATTTTCGAGTAGTTTTATATGGTTAACCCAACTCCTGACGTCATCAAAACCATAGTTAATGAGGTAAAGAATTTTTCCAAGATGGCGGAAAGCTCATTAATTTCGGTCTAAATATTTCGAGAACTAAGCAATATATGACAAATCGGTAATAGAATTTAATATATAATTTTAAGAGTTCTTTTGAATGAGACATACTAATTTTTTATTGCCAATGTCCTTTAACTTTTTCATGTCTTACATGTTGCAACACACTTATTTCTGACGTCTTCTTTTCTGCCCTTTAGTCCTTGAATTTCCTGATATATGGGCATGAAAGTCCATGAAAAGTACTTACTGGCCATGTATAGCGAAATACGTGTACAATTTATGTATGGGCTGAGTATTCTCCCTGCAACATCCAGGTGATCTCGTGTCGTATTTTAGCCAATCAGCGCTCAGAAAGGGTTGTCCGAATAGAAATCCATTTTGATGTATTCAGTCAATTATATCTTTCATTATTCTTTATGTAACTAGTTGAAATTTTGTAATTATGTTTGGTTATGAGAACTATAGCTCTGACAAAAATACGGAATCGAAATAAAGTATATTAATCACAGGAGATATTCAGTTGTTTTAATCATAAAATGGATTTCTATTTGACAACTAGTGCCAGTACTTTTCCGCGTATCAAGATCACCTGGATAGTATGAAAATTTTCCAAGACTTATACAGTATATACAGTATATACCGTAATTAATTTAATTTCAATTGACATGTTTGGGAAATAATGTATTTTAATTTTTACCCAGCCAACTTGCATGCACCTTACTGTACTATTATTTAACTCTGTCTAATGCCAGACGATTTTAATCATCAAAGCAGAGCGTTGGCGTCCAACTGGTTACTGTAATCAGTCGGTCTGCCCATATATGCGTATACTGTAGTCAGACTGTACAGTAGTCACTAGTTAACCCATTGAGTTGTGTTGAGCCATAATGCACCCTAAGTACTTTAATTATTAATTTTACTCTGTCTAACGCCAGATCATTTTACTCAGTTGTCAAAGGGAGAGCACTGGACAACATGCCACTGTAACAACATGTTATTTTTTAATTAAAATTGCTTTTATTATTTTTAATATGCTTGTGTAGGTCACATATCTGTGTTACCATACCATGATAAAGAAAAGTGTGGCTCTCCTTTTTTACTGTCAGCTCATTCAGGTATATTGTTTTATCCTTGTGTATACATGTAGACAGTGCCGTAGCAAGCTCGGTAATAGGGAGCTTTAGATTTGACTACGAGTACGACTACGAGTACGAGATTTGATCGCGTGCGAGGAAATCACCGTAGTCGTTTTCGTTTCCATTCAAATGTTGCTTTTATAACAGGAAACCACCGAGAGAAAAAGTTTCATAAACTAAATCTCCCACAGACTAAAATCCCCTACAAAACGTGTAAATAAGTCATAACATTCAAAACAGGCCAGATATTTAGTACTAAAATAATATATTATTTGCCCCAGGATAAACGCTATATAAATGCTACAAATTATTTTTGGAAAACAAAAAAAAGCCAACTTTCTTTGTTTTTTTTTGAAAAGTCGTCGTGAGGACTACGAGGTTTCTCCACAATTTCGTACTCAAATGGGCGACGGCTACGACTTTTTCGCAACAGTACGGGATGGCGTAAGCATACAGCATGCGTTTAGCTTGACGAATCTCGTACTCGTAGTCGTACTCGTAGTCAAATCTAAAGCTCCCTAATTGTTCTGAAGACCGCGCTGTGCTCGACGACAAATTAAGAAGTGCCTCAGCAACATCCTCCTCAAAAGTACGTAGTTTTCTCTAGATGAGGGCTACGTCGTTTCCTTTCTGAATGCATATGAGTGCCACTTTATAATTTTTTTAAAAAATCATTTACAGTAATGCACATTACCTTTTCATTGGTCGCGAAGGCGTACACAGGATCTGGGCTTGCCTTCGTTCGTCCATTATGTACGAGTCAAATCCAACCGCGGTCAGCCCCCCCCCCCCGGGCAACCCCAGGGCATTTGACTTAACATTACCTCCGTATAGGCGGGAATTTGACGGCCCGGTCAGGCATTTGACGGCCCCGTCTGGCATTTGACCACTTGACAACAACTTGCTCAGCGGTTTTCCCTAAAAATATGTGTACACTCTAGCGTTCAGGAGTTTTCAATTTTACGTCTTTTCGATAGTTTAAAAATTGCTTCTGAATCACAAATATCAATCATAGATATATGATACAATATGCCCGTTTGAACAAAAAGAAGAACTGACTGGCCTATTTTTCGTTCTTTTTAATCTTGAAATACTTGTTCAATTTAATTTTGGCCAAAATTCCAGAACCAGGACTACCTCTATAGCAGGGCATTTGACTGTGTGGTTTTTGCCTGTTTGGGCGGGCATTTGACAAATTATTTTTTCAAAAGTCAAATTCCCCGGGGGTTGCCCGGGGGGGGGGTGATCGCGGTTGGATTTGACTCGTACATTATTACCGATAAAATGTAAACTACAAATATAGATGTCTTTCGTGCAAACAAAATTATCATCCCGGTGACACGCGATTATCCATTTTATATCTCCTTTCTGCCGATCGTACAGCCCAGGAAAATGATAAAATTGAATTGGGTCATTGTTTTTACTTCTCTTATGAAGGTGCGGGTATATTGAATCATTTTTACATGTTCCCCAAGCATATATTTTAGTTGCGACCATATTGCTATTCTTAGTATTCTATATTGCGTTATGTTGCTTGCGTGACCCGTAGTCCGAACTATTGCGATTGTTTACATTTTTGACCACGTGCCAAGTACACGTGGCACCCACGGTCAAAGTGGTGAATTTTTGTTTTTGTAAAGTGGAAACACCGCATGAATATTTTTGGTCGCCATATTTTGATACTGATGTTGTTTGCAAACTGTGTCTCTGAATATTCTCATTTTTATGATCAGAAATTCTGTAAGAACCGAAGTATTACCGTATAAAAAGCTGAAACCATGTCTAGGAAATGCGAGGTTCGTAACAAGATGTCACGATGTTATTAGGTGACGTCACGATGACGAAAACATTAATTTGATTGACAGGCGCGGCGAGCGAGGCGTACAAAAAAGTAACACAAGCTAGGCTATAAGTTTTATATATTGTAAACAAATGACTATTTCTCTCGATTTCTTGTTAATCAGAAACTATATCGTAATAAACTAACACGTTACATGGTGTCAGGAGTGTTCTGAGTCGAAATAAAACGATGGTTGAGCCACAAGCAGAAGTCCAAGCGCCACAAATGGCCCAGACGCCACAAATATTTATAGCGCCATCGAATTTGCCACCGCCAAAGTCGCTTATATTCGACGATAACTTGGCAACTACATGGGAGTCTTGGAAGAAATCATGGACACGGTACGAGATTGTAACAGGTGTACAAAAACAAGAAGGTATTGTCAGAGTATCAACCTTGTTAAGCGTAATCGGCGAGGACGGTGTTAAGGCATATGACACTTTTACTTGGGGCGAAGATGAAAATCAAAATGATGTTGATATTGTACTTAAAAAATTTGATGAATATTGTTCACCGAGAACTCAAATAATCTATGAACGATACCGTTTCAACAATGGAAACCAGGCACCTGGAGAAAACATCGCAACCTACCTAACAGAACTGAGAACAATCGCCAGAAATTGTGCACATGACTCGATTACACCAGACGAAATTTTACGAGATCGTCTTGTTTTAGGCATTCGTGATGACCACGTCCGAGAACGTTTATTGAGGCTAAACGATCTCACGTTACAGAAGGCAGTCGACACTATCAAAGCCGCGGAACAAACACAGCAGCAAGTCAAGCTCATGAGCACCGGAGAAGATTTTGTAAACACGCTAAGGAGAACACAACAAGAAGACGCCGGTATAGAAAGTAAACAATATCGAAAGACAAAACCGCCGAGATATTCAATGCGAAACCGCCAGCAGGAAGTATTGTTTACAGAGTGTGGAAATTGTGGTATGGTTCACGACGAACGGAATTGTCCAGCGTTCGGGAAAAAGTGTTTTAAATGTGAAAAGATGAATCATTTCGCGCGGAAATGCCGAGGAAAAAATAGCAAAGCACCACAAGTCAACCAAACTACGGAAGTCGAGCAAAAACCGGAAGAAGATCTTTACTGCATCAGTTCTATTTCTGACAGCAACGAGCCCAAAGCACGCAAAGCTGTGATCAATTTGCAAGTGTCGAAGCCAGAGGCGGAGAACACGGTTCAATTCCAGATAGACACTGCGTCGCAATGTGACATTCTCCCGGCAAGTTCATACATACAAGTTACTGGTGACAAACAACTGCAACGCCTAAAGACCTGCAAGAAAGAGATCGTTTCGTACACAGGAGAACACCGTAAAATCACCGGAAGAGCCAAATTGCCAGTGTGGTTCGGAGATCAGCAAAGAACATTGAACTTTAACATTATTCACGGAGATTATCAACCAGTTTTATCATTAGATACAAGCATCGCTCTTGGCGTTGTCAATTTGACCAACTGTGACATTTTGGCACTGACAATAAAGCCTCCAGAAGACAACTCGTATGTTGCAGAAGAGTATGCCGACGTTTTTGATGGCCTGGGCGAGATAGCAGGAGCTCACACGATAACTATAGAAGATACGGCGAAGCCAGTTATCCATGCCCCTCAACGTGTTCCAGTCGCATTACGAGCTCAAATAAAAGCCAAACTAGATGAGTTAGTCGACCGAAAAGTCATTGTCCCTGTCACAGAACCCACTCGTTGGGTATCCAGTATGTTGGCAGTCGTCAAGCCGAACAAGATCCGTATATGCATCGACCCGCGAGACCTAAATCGTGTTATACGACGCGAACATTACCAACTACCCACTGTAGATGAAGTCACTTCAAGATTAACGGGTGCCAAGAAATTCACACTCTGCGATGCTAAGGACGGATTTCACCAAATCAAACTTGACACGGCTTCGAGTTATTTGACAACGTTCAACTCCCCTTTCGGACGGTACCGTTGGACTCGCATGCCATTCGGAATATCGAGTGCACCCGAAGTTTGGCAAAGGCGTATGCATGAGTTTGCTCAAGATCTTAATGGAGTTGAAGTCATAGCAGATGACTTCCTTATCGCGGGATTTGGAGAAACTGGAGACGAGGTCGATCGAAGCTTGGAAACGAATGAACGGGCATTTTTCAAGAAATGTCGTGAGTGGAACCTCAAGCTGAATAAATCGAAGTTGAAGCGATCACAGACAGAAGTCCGTTTCATGGGACACCTCATTACCGCTGATGGCCTCAAAGCTGATCCAGAAAAAGTCGAAGCGATCTTAGACATGCCTGCCCCAACTGACACAAAAGGCCTCAAAAGATTTCTCGGGATGGTAAACTATTTGGCAAAATTTTTACCTTTATTGTCGGACATGACCGAACCGCTGAGAAGACTTGAAGATAAGGATGTAGAGTGGTGTTGGCTCGAACAACACCAGCAAGCCTATGACACTGTCAAGAAGTCTCTAGCCAAAGCGCCGGTCCTGAGATACTACGATGTCAGCAAGGAAGTTACTATTGAATGTGATGCTAGTGACACTGGCCTAGGTGCTGTCTTAACGCAAGACGGACAACCCGTTGTTTTTGCTTCGAGGGCACTTACAGATACAGAAACTCGTTACGCCCAGATTGAAAAAGAATTACTAGCGATTGTCTGGGCAACCAGCAAATTCGATCAGTATATCCTCGGCCGAGAAACCGTTACCATAGAATCCGATCATGAACCGCTTAAGGCAGTTTTCATCAAGCCTATACATAGCTCGCCTAAACGGTTGCAGAGAATGCTGCTGGCCCTCCAAAATTACAATCTCAACGTGCAGTACAAGAAAGGTAAACTCATGTGGATATCGGACACCCTGAGTCGTGCATATCGGAACACAACAGAATCTTGGCGTCATGACACGACTGAGGTACGAGCCCTGGAAGAGATCGACCATGCAGAGAATCTGTCTATTTCTCCAGACAGACTCGACCAGTTCAAGCGCGAGACACCGTCAGATAAAACCATGCAGAGTATCATCGTCGCGGTAAAGAATGGCTGGCCTACATCCAAGAGACAGTGCAGCCAGGACTTGGCACCGTTCTACGACAAAAGAAGTGAACTAGTAGTTGACAATGGACTAGTTTTCGCTGGAGAACGTTTAGTAGTCCCAAAATCAATGAGAAAAGAAATGCTGACGCAGATTCACCGATCTCATATTGGCATAGAAGGATGTCTTCGGAGAGCCCGTGAGGTATTATATTGGCCACTCATGAACGCAGAGGTTAAAGATTTGATTTCTAAATGCCCAACATGCCAGGCGTATCAACCGGCACAATGTCGTGAAGAATTAAAACCATACCCAATACCATTCCGTCCCTGGGAAACGGTCAGTATGGACCTTTTTGAGCTTGGAAAACAACACTTTGTTCTGCTCGTAGACCACTGGAGTGGATTCTTCGAGGTCCAAGAACTTACGAGAACTACCGCTGATAAAGTCATAGTAGCCTGCAAAGTCCAGTTTGCACGACATGGAATCCCAGATACAGTGATAACAGACAACGGACCTCAGTTTTCTGCCACAGAATTTTCAGCATTTGCAAGAGATTGGCAGTTTAAGCATCTAACTTCAAGCCCTCGTTACCCACAATCTAATGGCAGAGCAGAGAATGCGGTCAAGACTTGCAAAATGCTGATGAAAAAAGCCAAAGCTGCTGGTCAAGACCCATTGTTAGCATTTTTAGACTGGAGAAACACCCCCACAGAAGGTCTGGGATCATCACCTGCCCAAAGGTTGATGGGGCGACGTACGCGAACACTGTTACCGACTCACAAAAATCTCCTTAAACAACCAATCAACGAAGGCACTAGAGATAAACTGGCTGCTCGGAAATCACGACAAATTCGCCATTATAACAAGACGCACCATCCTCTTAAGCCATTAAAAAAAGGTCAAGCTATACGAATGAAATTACCAAATGCAACAAAATGGACCATTGGAACGTGTACCAGGGTCTTGGATAACAGATCGTACGAAGTAGAGGTGAGTGGAAGGAAATACCGACGAAACCGCCGACAACTCCGAGCATCGCAAGAAAGACCTCCAACACCACCAGCTGGTATGGATCCTGAGATTGGACCTGAGCAAAGCAGTAGGGAACCCGAGAACAGTTCGATTGTGAATGAACCCAATCTCGAACACGTACCACTATTAGACGGTGAAACCTCCGCTGAGACCATTGGAAATCTACCACGCCGATCTACGCGTACAAAATATACACCGGTGTGGCACAAGGACTATGTCACGAAGTGAACGCTCTCAACTAAAACGTTAAGTACCAGTACTTTATGCATATATATATACAATTCTATATTATACAGTAGTTTCATATTTTGTTAAAGGGGAAAAGATGTCACGATGTTATTAGGTGACGTCACGATGACGAAAACATTAATTTGATTGACAGGCGCGGCGAGCGAGGCGTACAAAAAAGTAACACAAGCTAGGCGTTTTATATATTGTAAACAAATGACTATTTCTCTCGATTTCTTGTTAATCAGAAACTATATCGTAATAAACTAACACGTTACACAAGATATTTTCAACGAAAGGAAATTTGCTGAAACATAAAAGAACACACAGTGAAGACAAACCTTATGAATGTGATGTTTGCAATAAAAGATTTTCAAAGTCAAGCAATTTAACCGTTCATATTAAGAGAATACACACTGGAGAGAAACCTTATGAATGTGATGTTTGCGGCATGTAGTAAAACATGGACTGGACTCATTAGTAAAACATGGACTGGACCCGATTAGTAAAACATGGACTCTATTAGTAAAACATGGACTCTATTAGTAAAACATGGACTCTAT